TGTGCTTTAGTTTCTTTCGTGCTTATGATATGAACATGAATGCAATTGCACATGAAAACACTTTAAAACCATGCAAGAACTTGGGTCTTAAACATCAACCACAATTCATAGCTTTAAATCAACTCAAGGTTTCCATGTAAAACAAAGCAACCCTTTAAAATGAAATATATACACATACACATACAAGGTTGGATTTAAAATCTGCAAATCCCAAAATCCTCAATTTCATATAATACAAGACCCAAAACTCCTTTCATGAAAACATTAATCTTTATAGACATGACTTTGAACAAAAACATATCTTCAAATTAAGAACCAATTTTTTCATGCAAAACTCAAAGTCTTAAATTGAATTGAATTTTGATAATAAAAAAAAAAAACTTGGAAGTTAAGCTTCAATTTCCCAATTGCTATGGTACCTCCTCAAAATCATAAAAACTCATGCAAGGAAATAAGAATATGGTCATATAACCCAAGAATGTATATCATGCATGGTGATTTTGAAAGTTGATTTAACTAATTCTTCGATTTTGGAACACAATTACATTACACCTCCATTTTCATAAACATAATCCTTAATTTAATGTATGATCTCTCCTCAATCTCTATGAATCATGTAGGAGAACAAGTATAGAATCAAAGTTTTCTTGAAAATATACCATGCATGTAAAGATTAGGAGTTAATTTGAACAATTTTACCATTTTCTAACATGCATGTCCTAAGCTCTTAATTTCATGAGCAAATCTTCTAATTAATTATAAATTCAACTGAAGTAATCTTATGTTCTTCCTTTTTGAGCTTAGATTCTATGAATTAACAGTGTATCATTTCAATTTCATGAATTATGAGGTAGAAATTACCTTAGTTTGATGATTTAATGCAATATGAATCAAGCCCCTTCTTTCTTCATCCTTCAATTCTTCTTTGAGTTCAAACTCTCAAGATGACTATTTCTTTCCTCACACACTCTCTCTCTTCGTGGTTCTTGTTTGGTGTGTTAGATGAAAAACTCAATATAAGCAACCCAGTACTCTCTCTCTCTTACTGTGTTTGTTGATTCAAAATTGAGTAGTATTCTAAATTATTGTTATCATTAATTAATTTAACTTTAAACTATTAAATCATTCTAATTAAGTTAAATAAAAATCAAAGCTACGCAAATTAAATTAATCCTCATCAAAATAAAATCTCAAATATACTAAATTTAATTATATTAGTATGAATTAGACTCTAATTTTTATCCTATTATTTAATTCTAACTTGTTAAAATTAATGAATCAAACAGGCACTACAAGAAAAGTGGGTTTATGAGACGGAAATATTTGCGACGGCAGAAAATGCCGTCTCAAAAAAGCAGAGCATTTGCGACGACACAATTTGCCGTCTAAAAAAATGAGAGTATTTGCGACGGTATTTTCTGCCGTCACAAATACTCTCATTTTTTGAGACAGCAAATTGTGCCGTCGCAAATGCTCTGCTTTTTTGAGACGGCAAATGGTGCCGTCGCAAATATTCTGCTTTTTTGAGATGGCATTTTCTGCCGTCGCAAAAAAGTGCTTTCGTGTTTTTTTTTTTTTTTGGTGAATATTTTTAAATTTTAAATATTTTTTTTAGATGCACCTTACTTAGATGTATCTAAAAAAAATATGAAAAAATTTTTTAAAAATTAATAAATGCATAAAAATACAAAAAAAAAATGTATTGAATTATTGTATTTTTGGTATTTAGTGAATTTTAAAAGATTTTTTTTACAATTTTTTAATTTTTAGGTGTATTTATGTTAGGTGTGTCTAAAAATTAAAAAAATACTTAAAATATTAAAAAATTCAGTAAAAACAATATAACACGGAAAACAAGAAAGTATACATTTTCTCAAAAGAGTTTTTGGAAAACTCTAACCTAGCATAGTGATTATGGTTTTGAGACAGCTTCATATATATACAGTCACAAAATGGTTTGGATAAATTCAACAGTATCTTTCTGTCGCAAAAAAAATTAAAAAAAATAATGCCGTCTTACTCTTTTGATATAACATTTCTCTTTTCATTCATTTTTTCATCTTTCTGTCTCTCTGTCTCTATCTCTCTCTTTTCTCTTTATCTCTTTCACTCATCACTCTTCTTTCTCTGTCTGTCTGTTTCTCTCTCTCATTTTCTCTCTGTGTCTCTCGCCTATCTCTCTTCTCTCTATCTCTCTCATCTGTTTTCTCTCTCTGTCTCTCTCGCTCATCTCTCTTCTCTCTATCTCTCTCATTTCTTTTCTCTCTCTCTCTCTTATCTTTCTATCTCTCTCTACCTCTTTCGTCCATTTCTCTTCTCTCTCTGTCTCTCTCTTTTTCTGTGTGTCTCTCTCGCTCATCTCTTTTTGCTCTATTTCTCTATCTTTTTGTCTATCTCTCGCTCATCTCATGTTTCTCTCTCTTTTTCTATCTCTTCCTCTATCTATCTCTCTCTCTCTCTCTCTTTCTCTCTTTATCTCTTTTTCTGTCTATCTCTCTCTCCCTGCCTCTCTCTCACTCCTCACTCTTCTCTCTCTTTCTACTTGTCTATTTGTCTATTTCTCTCTCACTATGTTCGCCTTGTTCACTCTCTTACTCCCATTTTCTCTATTTATCGAGCTCCTTCTCGATTTATCGATCCACTATAAACGACGTCGTCTTACTTTTTTGAACATTTCTCTTTTCACCCATTTTTTCATTTTCATATCTCTCTGTCTCTCTTCTCTTTCTCTCTCTTACTCATCACTCTTCTCTGTCTGTCTGTCTCTCCCTTTCTCTATATGTCTCTGTCTCTCTTCTCTCTCACTCATCACTCTTCTCTGTCTGTCCGTCTCTCTCTTTCTCTCTGTGTCTCTGTCTCTCTCTCACTCATCACTCTTCTTTGTCTGTCTGTCTCTTTCTTTTTCTCTGTGTCTCTTGTCCATCTCTTTTCTTTCTATCTCTTTCATCTATCTTCTCTCTCTGTCTGTCTTCTCTTTCTCTTCTTTTTTTCTCTCTCGCTCTCTCGGTCATCTCTTTCTGTCTCTCTCGCTTATCTTTTTTCGCTCTTTTTTTTTTCTCTCTCTCTATCTCTCTCTCTTTGTCTATATCTTTTCACCAATTTTTCATCTTCTTCTCTCTCTTTTCTTTCTCTCTCACATTCATTACTCTTCTCTCTCTGTCTGTCTATTTGTCTCTCTCTCTCTCTCTGTGTCTCTCATTCATCTATCTATTCTCTCATCTCTTTTCTCTCTTTGTCTCTTTCGCTCATCTCTCTTCTTTCTATCTCTCTCACTCATCTCTCTATCTCTCTCACCTCTTTCTCGTTCATCTCTCGCTCATCTCTTCTCTGTCTCTCTGTCACTTTCATCTATCTTCTCTCTCTGTTTGTCTTCTCTCTCTCTTCTTTTTTTCTCTCTTGCTCTCTCGCTCATCTCTTTTTGTCTCTCTCTCGTTTATCTCTTTTCACTTTTTTTTTCTCTCTCTTTCTCTCTCTATCTTTCTTTCTCTTTGTCTATATCTTTTCACCCATTTTTTTATCTTCTTCTCACTCTTCTCTTTCTCTATCTACCTGTCTGTTTGTTTGTTTGTCTGTCTGTCTCTCTCTTCCTCACTGTGTTCGCCTTGCTCACTCTCTCCCTCATCTCTTCTCTATTTATTGAGCTCCCTCTCGATTTATCGATCCAACCATGTTGGGGACCCCCAGTGGAAAGTGACTCCAGCATCCCCAGAAAACAGTGAGGGTGTGGGGGTCACTCCAACTGGGGGTCTAGGGCATTTTCCTTATCGATCCACTACAAGAAAATGCACTTTTACTACCATCATCGCCACCACTCCACTACTACTACTGCCACTACCACTACCATTACCTTTCCTCCATCACTGTCACTCCATCTTCTCTGTCTGTCTGTCAATTTCTCTATGTGTCTTTGTCTCTCTTCTCTGTCTCTGTCTCTCTCTCACTCATCACTCTTCTCTGTTTGTCCGTCTCTCTCCTTCTCTCTGTGTCTTTGTCTCTCTTCTCTTTCTCTCTCTCACTCATCACTCTTCTCTTCCTATCTGTTTATTTGTCTTTCTCTCTCTCTTCCTCACTGTGTTCGCGTTGCTCACTATTTCCCTTCCGTCTTCTCTATTTACTGAGCTCCCTCTCGATTTATTGATCCACTACAAGAAAATACACTTTTAGCGACCACTTTGTCTCTCTTTCACTCACCACTCTGTCTCTCTGTCTCTCCTCTATCTGTCTCCCACTTATCTCTCTCTTTCACCACCCATCTCCTCTACCACATTTACTACTACTGCAAACGCTATTTCACTACCACCACTACTACCACGGTTGCCATTTCACCTTTACGACTACCATTACAATATTTTTCATTAAAATATTACCCATACTTCTACTAAATAAAAAAATAATAATAATTTTTTTTTTCATTAAAATAAAAATGAAACAAATAAATTTTCAAACTTAGTAACTAAAATAAAATAAATTTTTTTTAAAAAAAATTATTTTAACAAAAAATAAAGTTTTTTGACGACGACAATCCCTGTTGCAAAAAAAAATAATTAAACAACGTTGTTTTATTGTTTAAATTTTCAAATTTTTTTTTTTGATTTTTTCTTTTCTTCCCCCCTCCCCGTTTTTCCATTCCCTCCCTTTTTTTTCCCATTCCCGCTCTGTTCCCCGCCGCCCATCCAAAACCAAAAAACCCTAATCTCTTCTTACCCCTCCCTCTCTATTGATCGATCGAGCGGCGGCAGACGACGGAGAGTGGAGAGAGAGAGAGAGGCGGAGAGATGGTATGCGGCAACACATTTGCGAAGACCATATGCTCAACCTGCTACGAAGATCTCAAACCCATAGTCGGAGACCTTCAATCCATCTCCATTTGCGGTCACGTCTTCCACGAGCTCTGGTCAGTCATCACTCATTCATATTTCATATATATATACATACACTCATTCACATTAATCGATTGAAAATTCTGTTATTTACCTTTGTAAAAACCCTAGCATTCAACAATGGTTCGAGTACTGTTCAAATGGGAAGAAGAGAAATTGTCCTGTATGCAAGCAGACCTGTTCAGAGGCCAAGCAGACCTGTTCGAAGAATTGAATATATCTGCTGATTTGTTGAAGGGTTTATATGCGGAGATGAAGTTTGAGAGGCGGAGCAAGATCCAGACGATCAGTTTGCCTATGATTCTGACCCCTACTTACAAGCACTTGATCGCTCAGGCACACAATGGTTCTGGCAAGACTACTTGTTTCGTGCTTAGCATGTTGAGCCATGTTGATCCCAAACTCATTGCTCCTCAGGCGCTCTGTATCTATCCTACTTGAGAATTGGCGATCCAGGTTCGTTAACATATGCAAATCTGTACATAATTTCTATTTGTTGATGTTTACAAGTATCTGAATGTTTGAACTCTATTTAATATATATATTTTTTTGGCATGTGAATTTGGTTTTAATTAATGGTACTCTTTGGGTTGGAATTTCAGAGTTTTAATCATATTTACTTATTCCTTTATGTATATTTTGTTCTCTTTTGATCCTTGAAGTGTCTTTGTGAATTCAGGGTTCCCCTCAACCTTTGGATAGGGAAAATGATCATGGATTATTTGGATAGGGAATGGGAAAATCTGAGGAAAATGTTAATGAAATATAAGCTCAATTTTTTGGATTTTAGGCTTCATTTGGCGAATGGGTTTATAACCAAAAAGCGAAATATAAAATCAACTAAAATAGCCAATTGCCAAACGGTGAAAGTGTGGTCATGTGTGGTTTCTTTAGGTTGTTTGTGGGTGTTTAAGTTTTGTTGGTTGGGTTCGCTGTGGTGATTTTATTTATTTATTTGGCTGCTAGTCTATGTAGTTATGTATTTGTTATGTTCTGTTCTGCAATGTTTGTGAAACTAAGGATGAATTAATGATACATGGTTCTCTGGTGGGTTTAAAGATCAGTGTTCTTTAACATGTAGTTTAATATTTAATCAATGGTAGCAAGTGGATCATGTGTACACATTTTGTTGGGACTTTTCTCTAAAGTGTTTGTGAGTTTAGGATTTAATTAATAGTAGTGGATGACAATGATGCAGAACGTGGAAGTTCTTAAGAAGATGGGGAATTATACAAGAATTACTTCTGAATGTGCTATACCAATGGATAGCAGCAATTATGTTCCAATTTCAAAACAAGCACCAGTGACAACACAATTAGTGATTGGCACTCCTGGTACAATCAATAAATGGGCGACAGCAAAGAAATTGAGCACGAACTATTTGAAGATTCTTGTTTTTGATGAAGCTGACCACATGTTGGCAGAGGTACTATCATACCTCTTATTGAGATTATGTATGTTTTATGTGCTTATGATAAAACCCAAAAATTAGTGGCCTACTGTGTCTAAATTTTTTGATATTGTTTTCCTTACTTCAATTATTAGTAAATCTTAAACCCCCAAATCTAGTATTTGTATATTCTTTTATTTACTTTTAATTTTAGATATTGATGATGGTTTTGCTTTGATTTGTATTTTCTGATCTTTGTTATGTATATGTAGATTTAGAAATTTATGTATGATCTACGAGTTTGATCACTAAACTCGTGTTATTTTGAAATAGATTTCCCTAATCCCAAGTTGTTTTGAACGTATTTCACATCCTGGGTTTGAGAAATAAGTTTAGGGTTTAGGGTAATTTGTTCAAAAATGACATGGGTTTAGTTAATAACTCCATGATCTTCAGTGCTTCCGTTACTTTTCAGTCTTTTATTTTTTTAATTAATTTTGTTTTTGAATTTTATATTTTTATGATCTGTTGTTTTATTTTGTCCTTTGGTGCTGACTGTTGATATAGATTAACCAAGGAATGGGGCAATCTATTTTCTCTGTTTAATTTTAAAGATATTTTTAGCACTCTTGCTGCTGAAAAATGAAAAACCAAATATGAAGAGGTTTTGCCAGAGTTTTAAATGTCAGCTGTTATGGTTTGGGATTTTGGACTTCTGATGCCATTATTAATTGATATTAGGTGTCGATACTATTTGATATTGACCGTATCGTTCATACCGATACATATCCTGATAACTTTATTAAAAAAAATGGGTTTTGCATATAATAATTTAGGGTTGTGCTCCTCTTGGTTCCCAAATCCCAACTATGCAAATGTTCAATTTGTGGCCAAAAAAACGGATGAATCACAAAACAAAAGAGACACTGTTTGATTTTTAAGTTTACTTTTATTATTTACTAATTTATCATTTAGATTGGAAATCAAACATGATTAATTTATCATGGTTATCAAACACGCTTCTTCATTTACTAGACAAATTTTGATATAGTTTTGTTTGCGTCTTTGGTAGATAATTTTCATTTATTTCTAGTGTTGGTTGAATGCTTTCATTGAGAGGGTTTCTGGTCTGGAATGCAGGAAATGTGAATGATTTGTTTTGAATAGAAGTTTGATGATACTATTTCCTTTGTTGACACAGAATCTTTTCTGACTTAATTATGTTTTTCTTAGCTACTAGCAGTCAAGAAACTCGATACTACAGCTTGTAGGAAGCAGAGCAATGACGATTTCCTTGAGCTAGTGTTTAGTGTCTCTAAGCTTAAACACGCTAATGTAGTTGAGCTTGTGGGTTACTGTGCTGAGCATGGGCAGCAGCTACTTGTCTTTCTTGGGGGAGACTTTGGAGTAGGTTTTCTATCTCCTACATTGAGTGCATAAAAGATTTCCCAGATGGGGTAATTGATTGAAAGGGTTGAACCTCTTTCTAATTGCAGTTGTTTGTAAAGTCTTATGCGTCCATTGTTAATTTGTAATTTTTTTTTTTTTTTGGGTTTTGTAGCAAAGGTATCTGCATGAAGTTTGTTAATTAGTTAGTCTTTCTTGTACAATATATGACAGCAAAAAGAAAAAAAAATAGAAGATGAATTTTCATATTTTTAATTATGCATGAATTTTTATTTATATATTGGACTTTTTATATTATTTTGTAATTATTGGTTTTTTTTAAAGTTATTTTTTATTTAATACAGGTCGTTTTCATAATTTTAATAAATTTATTACATTTTTTTTTTAAGACGGTAGCACACACCGTCTCAAAAAAAAATTGAACTAGAGTTTTTTGCGACGGCACCTTTACTGTCGCAAAAGATAGGAAATTGGTTGAAATGTAATACCTTTAGCGACAGTTTTATTGCCGTCACCAATAGTCCTTTAGCGGCGGCTCTGCTTGCTGTCGCAAATACACTTTTAGCGACGGTGTGTTCTGCCGTCGCAAAAAACCCCTTTAGCGACGGCAAATAATGCCGTCGCAAAAAACTCAGATTTTCATCCATTATTTGCGACAGAAATTTTCCGTCGCAAAAAAGGCATTTTCTCGTCGCAAAAAAAGGCGACGGCCTTATGCCGTCGCTAAAACCCTTTTGCAACACCCTTTGTTGCGACCTTCACTTGTCGTCGCAAAAAGTCACTTTACTGTCGCAAAAACCTTTTGCGACGGCATTTGGAGTATTTGAGACGGCGTTTTGCCGTCGCAAAAAATAATTTTTTTTGTAGTGAGGTTTAAGTCTCACTCTAACCTATCTGTCTACAATAACACATAATCACATAATTAACAATAAACACATAATCAATATATAATTAATTTGCTTAATTAAGGAGGTGGTCGTCACAATTAGCTTTTGGAATGAGTTTTTTTTTGCTTTTTTGACTTTCATGAGAGAAAAATTAAAATAATTATAGTTTTGATGTGACATTTTATCTTATTGACTTTTTAATCTATTTTAAATAAATTTAAAATCTCAATTAGCTAGGTGGTGCTTGGCATCAATTTTTTTAGTTAAAATAATAAATAAAGACAAAAAAAATGTTAAGTTAATCAATAAGATAAAATGTTAAATCTTATACATTAATCAATCACTTTTTCTTAGAGGTAGGCATTCATCGAGTCGAGCTGGGTTTGGGCTTGACTGACATTACATAATAAGGAATTTTGTGTCTATCCAAGCTCAACTTAGCCCTAACATTGGGCCTCTACATCTGCCCTAACCCGATCCAAAAAATAATTATAAATTCCAAATTTACATATCGGGCTATATGTTAAAAAAGAATTTAAAATATTCCATAATTAAATTTAATCATGCATTATATTTCTTAATTAAGTATACTGACATTATTATAAATTGAAGATTTTTGTTTATAAATTGAAGAATTTCTTAAATAAATTCAATCACACATCATCACAAATGTGAGTTCCAATAAAATCAATAAAGATAAAATTTAAATCTTAACCAAAAAATATATATATATTTTAGTATATTATAATTTATTTATTTAATAGTGGGTCAGGTAGGGTTGAAAGTATAAATATCAAACCTAGCTCATTAATATATCATGCTGAAAATATTGACATAGTCGGCTCTATGGGTTAAAACAACATTCCCAACTCCTTAAAAAATAAGGATGGGACAGATGGACCAATGAGTTGATATCCAACTTTATTTTTTCTCACAACCATCTATTCAACTATAAAAAAATTCATAGATCATTCCAAACACAATTTTTGTCATTTCATCATATAATTTGCCAACTAAAATAGCTATCCCAAATAAAGACTTAAGCCTCGTCTTGGAACATGCTATTTTAGTAATCAGCAATACTAGGGATATTAACAATCTTATTAACACACTTACAAGTTTTGATAAGATCAACCATCATTTGGTATGAGACCCACAACAGCTTGTGAGTGTGTTAGTGAGATTGTTAATATCCCTACGATTTTTTTTTAGCAATTTTTTGATTTTTTATAAAAAGATATATAAAAAAGTAAAGAGGGTGATACGATAACTTATAATAATTTTTTTGACTTTTTATCTAAAATGCTTAATCTCTATAAAAGGCCTTAATCTTAAAATTTTCAAATTGGGATGATTGTAGGTGTTTGCAATGAGAAGTTATTGATAAGTTGAGAGACAGCACCACATAGCACTTCACATATATTATGACTTTATTTGTCATGATTTAAAAATGTCATTCTATTTAAGTTGCATTATCTTTTTATTATATCACTTTAAATTTAATTTATACACAATTTATATTTCATAAAAAATCAAAAAGTGTACTTATTTAGATCATTCCAAACTATCTCTATAATTATTGAAGGAGTAAAATTCATAATTTTATGTTAAATAACTAAAAAAAACATAAAAAATATAATAATTTGTAATTAATTAAAGACATAATCACGTATTATCTCCATACTAAGGCCTCATTTGGGAACATGCTATTTTAATAACTTTTTGACTTTATGATTAAAATATGAGATTAAAAAAACTAATATATTTGGGGTGACTTTTAACTTTTTACGAAAAGATGTATAAAAAATAAAAATTAATATAAATTACAGACTTTTTAATTTTTTTAATATTTTTTTTGATTTTTTAACTAAAATATTAATTTGTCAAACGAATCCTAAATAATAACAGTCTTCTACCAGAAACTCTTATCTGCTGCATGACCTCTGTGTCACTCCTTAAATCAATCTCACACGCTACTTTTCATTCTCCCAAAACCTTTGAGTTCATAGGAAACCTGTCTAAGAACCTGGGAAAATCTTGCTAACACAAAATTCAGATTTATATAACATCAAAACAATAAGATCTACCACACAATACAATTTTCTTCGCTTTTTCCTTAAAGGTCATAGAATCCTCCAAATGTCCCATTTTATTTTTCTAATAATAATGACAAAGTGTCCCATATTTCCCACACAAACTTCTAAAACTGCTCATGAAACTATGGGAGAGAGTAGTTGAACAGAGATTAGGATATGCAACAATAGTTTTAAATGAGTAATATGGTTTCATGCCGCAAAGATCCACTATGGAAGCTATTTTTCTACCTAATCGACTAACGAAAAAATATAGGGAAAAGAACAAATATTTCCATATAATGTTGTTTATTGACTTACGAAAAGCATATGTATAGGGCTATTATGACGAAATCTGTTTGAGTCTTTGCGATGGTATGGAGGGAGTCCGGATCCTCTGCCGCATTTTACTGCGGCTAGCCCTGCGGTGCCCCAAAACGAGGGGCAAAATTTCACATTGATGTTGCTAAAAAATATATATAGGCAATGAGATTATGAGATGAAGACCTGATTAATTTAAACTTAACTGAGATGAAATTACTTCAAACAAAACCGAGTTAATTAATTGAAGGAAATTGATCCACATGGTCAAACTCAAGTAATAGGGATAAATTCTTGTTGAGTTTGTTTTATTATTTGTTTATTTTTCTGAAATAGTATCATTCTTTGCTTCTTTCAATTACATCTTTGGATTTTTTGATCCTATAGATAACACTTGATCGGTTTTCGGTTATGTGACGATCTGGTGAGAGAATTAATGACCTGATACTGTAAGCAATCACATCCAAAGGAAAGGCACTTAATTTTAAGGTTGACATTGACAACATTATTAAATGAATTACTCATACAACAACTGTGGGACATAAAAATGCTGCAAAATACAAAGTAGTTAGGATTATTTAATTTTGCCTTGAAACTTTGGAGTGTTTTAAGAAAATGATAAAAAATTAATTTGGAGACTTTTAATCAATTTTTTTTTTTTTTTGTTTGTAGTAAAAATTAAAAGTTAATTTTTTTGATTTTTTTTTCATTTGGGAATGTGGTTTTTAGTGAAGGGTGAAATTACAATTTTACCCTTCATAGGTCAAAATGTGCTAATGTGGTTTGATCATTTTATTATGATTTGATATCATAAACAAATATTAATCAAAAAGTTAAAAAGTAATTTTTTATCAACTTTTCAAATCATTTGTCTAAAAAAATCAAAAACTTAGTTAAAAGTTAAAAAATTATTTTTTACCATCTTTCCAAAATATGCCTACGTAGTTTAAAAGTCCACACAAGCACTGAATCGGACCATTCGCATCACAACAACACACACTCACCAAAACCAGTGCCCAAACAATGTCCCCTGTTCTCCTCCTCCTATTCTTCTTCTTCCTCCTCCTCACCGGCACAGCCACCGCAAAGCCGGCAGTTCTCCGTCGTGGTTTTTACACACAGACATGTCCGGAAGCTGAATTCATAGTCCGAAACACAATCAAAGAGGCCATGGTTAGAGAAGCCAGAAACGCAGCCTCTGTCATGCGCTTGCAATTCCACGATTGCTTCGTCAATGTAAAGTTTATGAACCTCCATTTCCATTCCTTTTCTCAAAAAATTGAGATTGGCCTTTGATGATTTTAATGAATATTGTTGTTATTTATTATTGTAGGGGTGTGATGCTTCGTTGTTGCTAGATGATACGCCCAACATGCTCGGAGAAAAGCTGGCTCTGTCAAATATAAATTCGCTAAGATCGTATGAAGTTATTGATGAAGCCAAGCATGTATTGGAGCAAATCTGTCCTGGAGTCGTTTCTTGTGCAGATATCATTATCATGGCCTCTAGAGATGCCGTTGCTCTGGTAACTATATAATCATCCAATCTTCTTTCTTTTTTAATGTGTCAAAGGGTTGGTTTGGTCTGAAGGTTTGAGTTGGGTTAGGGTTATTTTAGTTAAAAAATATAAAATAGATTTTTTAACCAAATAAGATAAATATCATATTCAAATTATAATCATTTTATTTTTTCTCTCACAAAAGTCAAAAAAGTCAAAAATTTAACTCAAACGAAACTTTTTAACTCTTGACTAAAATAGTAAAAAAAGCTAACCTACATCCCAAATGAAAGTAAAAGTAAATGAGAATGCTTGAGAGCACTAAATAAGGACTAAATAGGGAGCTCTACGGGAAACTCTAATGAGCTGGCTTCCCTAATGATTTGATAATTGTCTTCTTTTTTTTTTTCTTTTTTTTTTTGGTAGTAATTCTGGCTCATTAAGATTGTTAGTGCTCTTATTTTTAAGGGTTGGTTTGGGGTGTCCTAAAAAAGTGTATTTTTTGTCTTTTTACGAAAAGATGTACAGAAAAGTAGAGAAGTGATGTGATGAAAAAAAAATAAAAAAATAAAAAGACAGATTATATAGTTCATGCCAAACCAACCCTAAAACTCTCAATCAACTCTCAAAATAAATTTACGCATAAACTTGCCCTTTCATACTTATCCCTACCTATTTTCTATGTTTTTCTATTTTTATTATATTATATAAAGTGTATTCAACAGTGATGTATAAATATAAAAGGTATGCAAAAAATATACAATAAAGAATGAGATGATAAATATATGTTTATTTATTTCAAATTAAAGGGTTCATTGATGCGATTAATAATTTTTAAAATACCAATATTATATTATTTTTTGTGAGATTTTTTATATAAAGTTTTTTATTTAAATTATCCATGTATAACTGTATGAGATTTTAATTTTAAATTTTAATGATAATTTTTTCAATTTTTTTTCTTTCTATTATTTCCTAGCACACCTATCATCATGCGTGCACACAACAACCTCGTACACAGTTAAATCATACCAAAATAAATGGTAATTGTGGTCCCATCGTACTGAAATACTTTTTGAAAAATGCGCTAGATAAGGGCATTTCTTGCCACTGCCGTAAGGGTGCAAAGAGGATTGTACTTGAATTGAAAAAAGAAAAAAGAAAAAAGAAAAAGAAAAAGCTAAGAGTATTGTACAAAATATTATTTAGGACTATTTTAGGGAGTGAATAACTTTTAACCTACTTTTATCTTTTACAAAAAAATTAAAAAATAATTTTTAATTATCTTTTTAAAACACTTCTTAATTTGTTAAAATCATATTAATTCATATTTATTTGTAATGTACGTTATTCGTGGGAAGAAAATTCAGTGTTGGGGTCTTATTCTTCCTTTTTGGTTGGTCAGATATCCTATTTACTATTGATGTTTGGTTTTATTTTTAGTTTATCAATGAAGGTTTTATTTGAAATAAAAAAAAAAAACACATGGATTTATCATTATTCTATCACTATTAGATTGTTATCACCAGATTTTCTGGCTGAAAATCCTTACTTTGCCTTAAAATATTCCTCCAAAGCGGTTTTATCTATTACAATGAAAGCGATGACTGGTCTACATTATTCGGTGGTTCTTATCTTGGTAGTATTACGGAGCCCATTCGGAGCTGGAAAAAAGTTAAATTTTAACTTTTTATTTATTTTAAGTCGCATTATTTTTTACATAATTTACTCATAGAAAACAAAAAAATTAAAAAAATTAAAAAATTAACTTTTTATTAACTTCTCAAAACACCCTTACATTCTCTCTTTATTATGGAGCCGTCTAAAATCTAGATAGAAAGGAATTATTTGGATTTGTAAAGCTTATTATGAGTTATGCTTTGATAATTCGAACCATTCATTTTATTGGACACATTATAATATTTCGTTCATAAAAAATTAAGTCAATTCAATAATTGTAACTTATTCAATTTATCATATTTTTCACTAAAAAAATAGACGACAATTATATTTTTTAAAAAATAACTATATATTTTTTTGATAACAAAAACAATAAATTGAACAAGTTATCAATTTAATTTTTTTATAAATAAAATATATGAAATAAACGAGACCTGTTAACCTCCCATCTAAATTACAGAATCACCCTTCCTTTAAATAGTATATTATATATTTTAGAAAGATGCTATTGTACATGCCTAAAAAGATGTACCTTGAAAATTTTAGCCTCAATAATTTATTTACTTTCATCATTTTGAATCATAATTACTCTCGAATTAGTTAATAATAAAAAGACACTTCCGAAGTCTCGTAATCAAAATTATTTAGGCCCATAACCAACCACTAGAAACTTTCTTCACCCGAGTTCATAATATAGTACGTATATTTCAAATATATCATAAATTTAATTATATCAGTCATAACTTATATATTTTATTGAAAGGTTATAGAGTCGAGTCTCTCCTCTCCAATAAAAAATAAATAAATAAATAAAAATAAAAAATCAACATCATGATTTGATAAGTGTAATTCATTCACAACATATGTAAAGAGTGGGATCGTATGTAATTTATAGGAAAGAGACTCATTTTTGTAAATTTGTTAAGGAGCCGTATGTCAATGATTTTTTTAGTTAGTTTTTTAATTTTTTTTTGACTATTTTAGCTTGAGACTTTTTTAATTGTTTGGTTTTCTTGTTTAGATTTTTTGACTTTTTATCCTTAGAATGGCATTTTTTTTTTTTTGTTGGGTGGTTTTTTAGCCAAAAATGACAAGCAAGCACTAGTTCATTTTGCCATGCATTATGAGTAATGTTCTAGCACTTTAGTATTACCCCCCAAGTGATTAGCAATACTATACTAATGCCTCATTTGACAAAGTAACTGTTTTTGTTTAAAAAATAAAAAGTTACTAAAAAAATTAAAAAGTCAACAACTTATACCAAAAAGTCAAAGATTTCATTTTCTTTTTACTTTTTGCATATCTTTTCGTAAAAAGTTAAAAAATATCCCAAACATACTAATTTTTTTACCTCATATTTTAATTAAAAAATTAAAAAATTACTAAAATAACCTGTTTCCAAACGAGGCCTAACTACATGGTCTCTGTCTCTCTCAAATTTGTCTCAATTTAGAGTGGAGGACCCCATTGGGAAGTGAAGTTAGGAAGGAAAGACAGCTTAACAGCAAGCCAAGAAGACTCAAACAACATCATGCCAAGCCCGAGAGCCAACACAACCTCCCTTATTGATCTCTTCAGGAAATTCAACCTCTCCATCAAAGATCTTGTGGCCCTTTCTGGGTCTCATTCCATCGGCAAAGCTCGGTGCTTCTCTGTCGTCTTTCGGCTGTACAACCAATCCGGTACAGGCCATCCTGACCCTACCATCGATCCCAATTTCCGAGAAAAGATGGACAAGCTTTGTCCACTTGGTGGGGACGGAAATGTCACAGGAGACTTGGATGCAACACGGGAAACATTTGATAACCAATACTTCAAGGACTTGGTCAATGGCCGAGGATTTCTGAATTCTGATCAAACTTTGTTTGTGTTTGCGCAAACTAGAGAATATGTGAGGCAGTTTAGTCTCAATCAAAATGAATTCTTCAAGGCATTCGTTGAAGGAATGATTAAACTGGGTGACTTGCAATCAGGGAGGCCGGGAGAGATTAGAAGGAACTGCAGGGTGGTTAATTGGCAGCCCGTGGAAATATTGTTGGAGGAATGAAGGGAGAGGGAACATTGTGTTATTAGAGCCATTGGTTGGTTGAATAATAAAAGCAATGATGAGAAAATTGGTGTTAAACTAATATATGAATTTGAATCAGTAATAGTGAGACTGTTACTTAGTCCTAAGTTCATAATCTGGATGGGTTTGTTTGGATTCTAAGAAAGATTTAAGTAGAGGTCAACATCACAGCACAGTTCTCTGAATTCTGAATTTCATTGATCTGTCTCAAGCTTATTATTTGCGGCTAGTTTGGGAATGTTCTTCTGAGTGAAAACAATAGTTGCAGCTCTGGACAGGAAAGTGATGGTAAACTCTAGAATTCAATTATCAATAGTCCTCTGATTTGTAACCATAACCACAAAATGTAATTTTGTTATTTAGCAGTTAAAATATCACTGCTAGCGATCTATATGCTTTATGATACTTATCATGTAGAAATGCGAATGAAATGTGTTATGATAAGCATTTAAACCACTCAGCCAGGATATATTGTAATTTATATTCAAAAAAAGAAAAAAGAAAAAAAAAGAAGAAGACAGATTGTAATTTTGTTCTGCTGAATTTACTTTAGAGATCAAAAGGGAGAAATGATAGCAAACACCAGAAAAGTTAGTTGAACGTATAATTTCATCAACAATTCAACTAAAGCACAGTAAACTCTTGGAATTGCATGACACGGTGGTATGTAATCAACCGATCATGCATATAACAAAGTATATCATTATATTCTATTATTTATCACACTGGACAACTTTAAGGACATGGGCAAAAGAATAGGTAAGCAAAGGAAAAAATTCTAGAAATCTATATCATAAACAGAACTGAAAAGATATAATTCAGTCGATTGCAGGGTGCTAGAGGAAAAAGGGGAAGAAGATAAAAGAGAAAATGCAGTGAAAACTAATGTACTAATGATTGTATTTAGTAGTTATGGTGGCGTTGGGGTAGAGCTGGTGGTGGCAGCGGAAATCTTGGTGACAGTGGCGATTGTGGTGTGGTGGGGGGCATTAGTAAGATCTTAGTCCAAAAAACATTTGCCACCGTTTAAAATGAAAAATATTGTGTCCAAATAGATTTATTTTCTACTGACCATGAAAAATATTTTCTGTTGACTTCTATTTTCCGTTCTACCAAACACAATAAAATGCAGAAAACAACTGAGCTATACAGAAAGCAAATCAGGTGACCAACAAGATAAGGTTGAGTAATGGGGGAATAGAAAGTAATCTGCAGACTGAAGCAAAGACAACTAATTGCCGCCCAAATGCTGCAACCATGGAGCACAAGGTAACTCATGCTACTCGTCCAGAAAGGATTGAATACTCGGGCCTCATAAGTGCCCCAGGTACAACACCTTCCAGTACAGATTGTTGGCAGATGGCATATATAGCAAACCTGGTGCACACTTTATACTACATAAGCTTTGTTCAGTCACACATATGCATAAGGTTTGTCGAACTGATTTGAGCACACGAAAATCACTTTGGTACTAAGAAGCATAGACACGGACACGTGACATGACATAAATACGACACGGACACGCCGATATGTTAATATTCAAAAAATACAAGACACGACAGGTGGGGAACATGCATGAAATATATAATTTTATATATTTATTATATGTTATATATATGAATATATCATTCAAAGATAATAAAAAATGCAATATAACACTGTTGGCACATAAATTTCAACCAAATTTATGTTTAAATTTCAAATACAGTCAATGACACACATAGAGCCTACAATAAGATTGTTGTAGGCAATCACTTCCCAAAATGATTAATTTGCTCCGTTGAGGTATATAAATAAAACAACGTCGTATCTTAACGACGTTATTCAAGATGCTCAAATGACACGTGGAGCCTACGAAAAAATGACACCTGTAGAGCCTACAGCAAAGACATCACACAGGATGAAACCCCAAAGATCAATTCGGCTAATCAGATATACGATTAATCGTATAGCGCTATCATTCAAAATTCAAATGGTGCTATCGTTCAATTTGAATTTTGAAATTCAAAATTCTTATCACCTGGATGGCCCTCTATAAATACGAGGACCATCACACAGGATCAGGGATCAGAAAATCAGAAGTGAGAAGATTAGAGAGAGAGAGAAAGAAATCAAGAACTAAAAAAGGCATTATAAGAAAGAAGAAAAGAAGCCTAGAGAACTCAAGAACTTACGCTACAAACGCAGAATGGTGATGAATAGGTAAAGGGTTCCAAACCCAAGAATTGTACTTTGTATTCAAAGGTTCAAAACCCATAACAATTTCAATAAAATATTTATTTTTCTAAAATTGTTTTTTGTTATTTATTTTGTACTTCATTAATTGGAGGTTTCATTTATATAAAATGCGTAATTAACGATCTAGAATTTAGATCGAAAATAGGAACCTGCTATTCAAATAATCAACACTATTTAGTCCAAAAACTAAACAATGGACATTTGTAACATAAAATTTTAAAATGTGTTGAAGCAATTCATGTTTTAAAATTTGTGTCTACAAATTCTAGCATGCCCAGTGGGACCTATTTCTTTTCCCATCTTTTGAAGAACAAAAGAATATATATATTTGAAACTTATTGACGTATTCTTTTGTTATAGGAATGCTGAAGGCACTGTCAAGAGAAAAACCTACACTCTAGTGGTTCTGAAATCACCAAGGGTGGAGATAGCACCCATCACCCAAGGGGCTCCAGAGCGAATGCTCTTGGCTATCCCAAAGGTAGAACTAGCGAAATCTTGGAAAGATGCACTTCTTTCCCCTATCGCCCAAAGGGCTCTGGAGCAAAAGCTCTTGGCTGTCTCAAAGGTAACTGGTGTGACGAAGAAGGTCACACTTCTTCAGAAAGCCAAAAGTTTGAGAAAGATAGCTGAAGATTATGTGAAAACGTTGAAGCAGTACGCGATCGTGAAGGCCACAGCCCGAACGAAGAGCTTTCTAATTCAGGCAAAGGAGGCTAATCAGTTTGCAACTATGGCCTTTGTTACTGCTTCAACGGGGGCAACAAAAAATGTTGTGGCTCAACTACTCAAAAGGGTAGAAGACTCCATTAAAATGGCAAAGTCTGCCTAGAAGAGGGCCTCTGTTGAAAACATGGCCATCATTAGGGCCATTGGGAGGAGGGTAATGACCCAAACTCTTGTTGATGGAAAAAAGGCCCCTGTTGTTGAAAAACAATTGCGACTTAGGAACCGACAGTTCTGTTCAGAGCACAAAATCAGTCAAACCAAATCTCAGTCACCTCTCAGGGGCCAAAGGAACACCCATTGGCCCGACAAGGTTCGAATAAGGAACACCCGTTGGCCCGACGGGATTTGAATCAACATCAATTGGTCTGTCCTAAAAATGTAGGGACTGTTTTGAAAATTCATGAGGAATTTGCAAAAACGCAAACGGTTCCTTCTATGCCCCTAGGGGCTCGACTTGATATGTCATCAAATGGTCTCGTTTCGAAAAGACAAAGGCGAAGAAGAAATAAGGCCTTAAAGAAACTGAAAATAAAAACAGTGGCAACAAATGTTATATGAGTTATTGAAAGGGCTCTTTCAAAAGATGAACACCAAAAACAAATTGAAAGTCTTGTCTTTGTTGGAAAGTCAAAGGTAGAGGAGGGTAAGCAACCCTTGGGAAATATTTCTACTTTGATCGAACTATCAATGGAGGGAATAAGAAAAGGTCCTGTAACAAGGTTTATAACTCGTGAGGCTCAAAACAAAGCATCGTAGTCAGATGCTTCAAATATGAGTAATGTTGGGGGGTTTGATAACCTTTTGTACGAACAAAATGATTCCATCTCGTCTATTTCAACGAATATTGGAAACAATGAATTGAGAGATGTCAACAAAGTCGCAGTTATGATGACTGAGGTTAAGAAAGAAGGTGAAAATTTGCAAGTCCAATAAGACCAAGGTCTCAAGGAAAAAGTGGTGGCCCTACAAGAACAACTTGAGAGAAGAGAACGGGAAATGGCTGCTATGTTGGAACAAATGCAACAGTTGTAGGCCCAAATGACAAGAACGGGAAATGCACCCAAACAAATGGCACAACCTGTTGTGGGGACATCCGTAGGCATACAAAGCACACTAGCCCCAAGAGGCAATGGTCCTTGTCACTCTAATCAAACCAGTGGTGGTATGAATCCAACACTCATAGCCATGATTGATGATATGGTGAGGAGACAAGTAAAGAAAGTCAAGGAAAAAGATGATGAGAACTTTCGAATAATTACAAAACCTTACCGAGCATGGATAGATGCTGTTCCATTCCCTTCTGGTTTTTCCCAACCAGATTTCAAAATGTTTGATAGAACAGGAGATCCAAGATAACACGTGGCTCATTTTCTTTCAAGATGCGGGCCAATAGCCCAGAATGAGGCCTTGTGCCTACAGCTATTTGTCCAATCACTTGAAAGTTCTGCATTTTCTTGGTATGCTAACCTTCTTGAGGGATCAATCCCAAATTGGGATTTCATGGTGAAGGAGTTCCTTAAATAGTTCTGTAACACACAAAGGCGAGTTGGAGTACCAGAACTGATTGAGACCAAACAACGTGACAATGAGTTTGTTACAGATTTCATTCAAAGATGGCGAGCTTTGACATTTGCCTGTCCTCAAAAGTTTACGCAATTAGAGTTAATTCGTATGTGCCTTAACAACTTCCGGCATGAGCTATCTACGGCTTTTGTGGCTCAAACTTTTGAAGGATTCAACAATCTATACACTAAAGCTCATGATATGGAGCTGCATCTAGCTAAACGAAGGAGGCCTAGGGTCGTTGAAAGGGTTGAGTCCTCAACTGCAGCTATAATTGAAACTAGAAAAAAGGGTCCCGTTGTAGTAGGGGCAAAAAAGTCCAAGGAATTTAAAAAGGTGACTATGAAAGAGAGGTTGTAGAAGAAATATTCTTTCACGGATGATCTGGTTGAAGACTTATTTGAAGATCTGTTGGAGCAAAAGTTAATTGCTCTCCCTGAGGTTAAAAGACCATATGAGGTAGGGAAAATGAATGATCCAAAGTATTGCCCTACCATCGTTTGATTAGCCATCTGATAAAAGAGTGCTTTGTTCTGAAAGATAAAATTCAGGAACTTTTGGACTCTATGATTATCGAGCTCTCTCCTCAAGAGAAAGCATCTGCTAACCCAATCACTATCAACAATGATAATGAAGGTGAATAGGTTGTTTATTAGTCAAAAAACATGAAGAAAAAACAAAATGCCACAGTGAAAGCTAGAAATATGGTTGCTTCAACGCACAAGGGCCAAAAGTTTCCAAAAAACAAAAACCAAAAGTTTCCAAAAAATAGAAAAAAGTCAAAGTAAGTAAGAGAAAAGGAAAGAAGAACCCAAAGAAGGAAAAATGGAAGAAATTGGTCCCTAATGAGCAGTTAGAACAAT